TTTCTACTGGTGGAGGAGAGAGGAGAGTTTGTGAGCTGGAAGGGAGAAGGATTTCTTCAGCTTGGTGCATTTTGCTGCAGAAAAACGAGGTTTCAGCTCCAAGGGTAAGGGAAATGAAACAGAAAAATGCCTCCCATTAAGCAAAAGGGATGGAGAGCCCTGTGTAATAGTGCTGTCTGCAGGGGCTTCTTGCTCTGACTTTGCATCCAGTGTAGCCTTGCACCAGCACCTGGAGGGAGCTGTGCTACAGTGAGATGTGCTGCGTGCTGATGGGGAAGATGGGGGCTGGAGGGGATGAGCTCCTGGCCCTGCTGCTCTGGGGTGGGGACAGCCACGCCTATCACCCACCCCATGGATCACAGGCAGTGCTTGGGGAGAGGGTGGGTGGGCACCCTCCACACAGATCCCTGTGATCCCTCAGGGAAGTCCCCTGGGGAGACCGGGATCCCCATGATGTGAGCTGAGTCAGGGGCATAAGGAGCTGCCGGGGGGGGGGGGGTTTCACTCAGAGTCCATAGCCAGCGCTGAGGGTCTCCTGGCCACTGGGACACTGGCAGTGCCAGCACATCCTCTTACCCTGTCTGCATCTGCATCTGCATGGCCCCAGGGAACATCCCCCCCAGCAGAGACCCTGACCCTGTCAGGCACCCCGAGCCCAGGCAGGGCATGGCTGCGGGTGTTCATCAGGGGATGCTCTTTCCTCCCCCTTTGATGTTAGTTTTTTTAAAAAAGCCCAAATAGAGATGATGGGTGTGTGGCAGGAAGAACAACATTCTCTCCAGAGCTTTCTCGAGTAATTCATCCTCCGAGAAATTAATTATCAGTGCTGGCACTGCGTTTAATCAGCAGCAGTGCCTGTATGCCTGGGGTCGGAGGGCGTTGCTGTCTGTTTCCAGGGGCTCTGAGTTCCTGCCGGCCGGGAGAAGATCTGCTGCTGTTGCTGGCATGAGAGCTGGAAGCAGGGAGATCTGGTCAGGCTGGGAACGTGTGGCCCTGGCAGCTGTGCAAACACCACCGGGGCGGCAGCACCCTGCCAGCCCTGCTCAGGGTGGGTGGCTGGGCCGCAGCAGGGCAGCCCCCATGCTGAGAGCAGCTCAGATGCCTGCAAGGGACTCCCAGGGTGCCCATCGGGCTGGGAGCAAGAATATAGCCTGGGAGAGGGTGCCCTGTGACCCAGCACCCCATCCTGCACTGGGGACAGCAAACCCACACAGACAGCCGGAACACGTGTGTGTGTGTGTGTGTGTGTGTGTGTGTGTATGTGTGTGAGAGCGGGTGTGAGGCACACTGGGAAAGCAGATGTTGCAATGTTTGTTTGCTGGGGGGGGACACGGGGGCATCTGTTCCAGCAGAGCTGCCTCTGGCATCCGTCTCCCTGACAAATGGTGTTTGGTTTGGTGGTAGAGCCTTAATGAAAGCGGTGCTGGCTGCAGGCGCAGGGAGGGGAGCACCTGCCTGAATGACACTCTGGGGGAGAAAGGAGAAGAAAAGGACAAAAGGACATTGGACACAGCCCTTGGCAATGGCCAGATGGCTCCCATGCAGGACCTGTGCCTCGCTGCCTGGCTGGGGACACCTGGCCCTCTGCAGCCAGCCCTGCATGATGGGGTCTTGGGCTACCAGCAGAAGGTGCACTGCTAACAGGGGTGGTGGTCTGGGGGTCTCCTTCAGCCTGTTTTCTGGGTGTGAGAAGGCACTGGCTGGTGTGTGGGTGCCAGCCGGTGCTAGGTGGGTGTTATGAGGCTGTGCAGCCCCCAAACAGCAGGGCAGCAAGCTGGAGGCACGGCCTGTGTGCAGCACGGGCTGCCACCACCCCGGGCTGCAGCTATGGGGCTGTCCGGGATGATGGTCTCCCAGCAGGGCCAGGACACGTGGCTGGACAGACGGACACACTGCTGTTATGCAGCACCAGGAGCTGTGGGTGCAGCAGTGCCACCCCAGTGCCTGGGGGACAGCGAAGCCCTGGGCCCAGCAGGACCCAGGTGGACTTCTTGGAGATGGGGGCGTGATGGGGGTTTTGGGGACCTCTGGCACTGCTGCCCCAGGGGAGCAGGAGGTCCCTTGATTTGGGGACTTGTTTCTGTCATATTTGTGCCCTCTAGTGGCTTTGACCCCTCTCTGGTCCCATGGCCATGCTCCTGGTCCCGTGGCCACAATCCCTGCACCTCTGGCACTGCCAGACTTGGCATTCCCGAGTGGTGGGGAAGCGCTGGACGAGAAGGGCTCAGTCAGGCCAGGAGAGCACCTTGGCACTGCGTGATGCCATCCCCATGGTCATCTCCTTCAGGCTGGAAGAGAGTGCTTCTCCTTGGTTTTAAGATGGTTTGGCATGGAAATGTAATTTTTAGATCTGGAGAGAGGCAATGGATACCAAAACTTTTCCAGAGGCTTGAATCCTTGGCTAAAACTGTTGGGTGAGTGACCCCAATATGCATTTTATTCCAGAAAATCAAATTTTGAGATTTCTAACACAAAGTTTCTAGTTTTTTGACTGCTTGGGGCTATTTGTTACCTTTCTCTCCTCTGTGTTTAATCACAACAGCCTGTAAAAAGCCCCCCCCCCCTTTTTTTCTCATTATTCTGACGTTTCTCTTTATCTAAAGGAAATAAATGCTTCTTGACCTCTGGCCCATGGCAGCCACCGCTTCTTAGTTGTAATCCTTAAGGAGGGGAAGCCTGGACACCTTGTGGCTGCTCCTGCCTCCTGTGTGCCTCTCCCCTTCCCTGTGTCTCTTCTCTGCATGTTTTTGGACCCTACCCAGAGCTGCAGCAAGGATGGAGAAGGTGGTTTGGTGGGAAAAGCCCATCCAGGTACCGTGGGTCTCTAGGGTGGGTGGTGGAGCAGGGTGGGGATGGCGTCCCATATATCAGGGCAGTGTAACCTCCCATGTTCCCTGCAGGGACAGGAGGATGGGGGTGTCCCCATGCATTTGGCAGCTGTCCCTGTCTGCACTCCCACTGCTAGCAGGGGGATATTTCCTATCTGAGAAAGCAGATGTTGGTTAGGAGCTTCCTAAGCAGTTTCTCTTCCCTCCTAGAATTCCCTCTTAGAACTGCTTGGAGAGAGAATATAAATTCTCTTTTGTTGTCGGTTTAGGGGAGAACAAAACCAAATGTCACCTGGAGAAGTTCCTGCCGCTGCACCCCCAGGGGCTGGAACTGCTGCTTTAGGACTGGGATTAGCCCATCACTGAGAAAGCCTGTCAATGTGGGATTAGTGTGTAGGCTATGGTGACAGCAGTGACCTGGAGCAGCAGCTTCACCCTGCCTGTGCTTGCACTGAGCCGACCCATCCCCACGGGCTCCGGACCGGTCCATGCACTGAGTGGTGTCAGGCCTCTGCCAGACCCCGAGGGGCTTGGGGGGCAGTAATGCCACTGACAGCAACTTCCACACTTGTTATGCATTTTGGATTTCTCCCCTTTCCAGCCTCGTTAGTATTGAAATTAAAAGCAAGTGCTTGTGAATTGGTAGCTGTTCTCCAAGACCCTAATTAGCAAATCTCTTCATCCCCTGGGGCTGCAATCTAATAATCAAAAAAAAACCCAACACCCAAACAAGCCCCAAACCTTGTTTGATGGATCGGGAGTGCTACTGGAACAGTCGGAAGCGGCTCTTCCTGCTTAGTATGGTAATTAAGCACTTCAATTGCAATTATTTTTGCAATTAGATAAGTCTCTAATTGTTATCATAGGTGGCAGGGGTTTGGGTGTGTGTTTGCCAGTTCTTTCTCCCTGAGTTGGAGCAAAGTGTGGATGCTACAGGCGATTCAAGGCCTGCTCCTGTCAGCTTTGTCTGAAGATGAGTCCTCTGTGTGCTTGGCTGCGGAGACTCGTTTCCAACCTCTTTGCAAAGGAAGGTGCTGGTGAGGTGATATCTCCTTCCGCTCTGGGGTTCTTACCCCAGGGGTCTTGTAGGTCTCTGTCCCCAGGCCACATGCAGGAGGCCCGGGGAGGGGATGCCACCTGCCAGGGCATCACCTTGCCGCAGGTCTCTGCCTGCCCGCGGATGCTGAGCGCTGCCCGGGCTGGTGCTGTGAGGCTCTGGGGCCCCAACCCCTCCCTCCCCCGGCCCTCCTTGCTCTCCAGGAGCCGTTTGCTCTTTGCAACCACCAATGACGAGTGGAAGAGCCAACTCCACAGAGGCTCAAGCGGTTGAGTGCTGAAGGGAAAGGCTGTGGTGGCTCTGGGGGTGGCGACGGGGTTGGGGGAGCGGAGCGGGGTCCGGTGCGCCGGGAGCCCTGCCCGAGCCGCGGCTGTTCGGGGGTACCCAGCCCGCTGTG